TTTTTGGTGCCGTTTTTTGGTGTTTTGGGTGTTTTTGGTGCCGTTTTTTGGCGTTTCTGTGGTTTCTGGGTGTCCCTGAGCCCCCCCTGTGCCCCCCCAGCCCGTTCGAGGTCTCGGTGGCCCCCGAGGGCGGCTCCCCCCGGGTTCGGGCCTGGGGGCCCGGCCTGGAGGGGGGGGTGGCCGGGAAAGGAGCGGATTTCATGGTGGAGGCGATCGGGGACGACGTGGGGACCCTCGGTGAGAGGGGAGGGGGATCTGGGGCGCTTTGGGGGGAAATGGAAATTCTGGGGGCTTTGGGGAGGATTTGGGGGGAAAAATGGAAATTTTGGGGGGCTTTGGGGAGGATTTGGGGGGAAAAATGGAAATTTGGGTAGGAAAAATTGAGATTTTTGGGGGGAAAATTGAGATTTTGGGGGGGTTTGGGGAGGATTTGGGGGAAAAACTGAGATTTGGGGGGGAAAAATTGAGATTTTTGGGGGGAAAATTGAGATTTTTGGGGGAAAATTGAGATTTTTGGGGGAAAATTGAGATTTTGGGGGAAAATTGAGATTTTGGGGGATTTGGGGGAGAAAATTGAGATTTGGGGATTCTTCCCCCTCCCAATCCCGTTTTTTCCCAGGATTTTTGTTTTCCCCTGTTAAATTTCAGGATTTTCACCTCCCCAATCCCGTTTTTCCCAGGATTTTCGGTGGATTTTCGGTTTCCCCTGTTAAATTTCAGGATTTTCACCTCCCAATCCCGTTTTTCCCCAGGATTTTCAGTGAATTTGGGATTTCCCATCTCTAATTTCAGGATTTTCACCTCCCCATCCCGTTTTTCCCAGGATTTTCAGTGAATTTGGGATTTCCCATCTCTAATTTCAGGATTTTCACCTCCCCAATCCCGTTTTTCCCAGGATTTTCGGTGGATTTTCGGTGGATTTTCGGTTTCCCCTGTTAAATTTCAGGATTTTCACCTCCCCATCCCGTTTTTCCCAGGATTTTCGGTGGAGGGTCCGTCCCAGGCGCGTTTGGAGTGCGAGGACGGCGGGGACGGCTCGGGCCGGGTTCGGTACTGGCCGCAGGAGCCGGGGCTGTACGCGGTGCACGTCCTGTGCGACGGCTCCGACATCCGGGGCAGCCCCTTCATGGCAGAGATCCGGCCCCAGAGCGGAGACAGCTTCCCTGAAAAGGTGGGGATTGGCCCCAAATCCCCAAATCCTGTCCTAAAATCCCTGAAATCCCCAAAATCCTGTCCCAAAATCCCAAAATCCTGCCCCGAATCCTGCCCCAAAATCCCTGAAATCCCCAAAATCCTGTCCCAAAATCCCAAAATCCTGCCCCAAAATCCCTGAAATCCCCAAAATCCTGCTCCAAAACCCCAAAATCCTGCCCCAAAATCCTGCCCCGAATCCTGCTCCAAATCCCTGAAATCCCCAAAATCCTGTCCCAAAATCCTAAAAGTCTGCCCCAAAATCCTGTCCCAAAATCCCAAAATCCCAAAATCCCAAAATCCTGTCCCAAATTCCCCAAATCCTGCCCCAAATTCTGTCCCAAATCCCTGAAATCCTGCCCCAAAATCCTTCTCAAATCTCCCAAAATTCCCACCAAAATCCCCCAAATTCCTGCCCCAAATTCCCCCCAAATCCCCTCTCAAATCCCCCAAAATTCCCACCCAAATTCCTGCCCCAAACTCCTGCCCCAAATTCCCAAACTCCTGCCCCAAATTCCCGGAATCCTGCCCCAAATTCCCAAACTCCTGCCCCAAAATCCTGCCCCAAATTCCCAAACTCCTGCCCCAAAATCCTGCCCCAAATTCCCAAACTCCTGCCCCAAATTCCCAAACTCCTGCCCCAAATTCCCAAATTCCTGCCCCAAATTCCCGGAATCCTGCCCCAAATTCCCGGAATCCTGCTCTGAACCCTGCCCCAAATCCCCCCCAAAATCCCTTCTCAAACCCCAAAATTCCCAAATTCCTCCCCCCGAACCCACCCCAAGCCCCATTTCGGTTTTCCCGCTCGGAATTCCGGGAATTCCCGCCCCCAAATCCATGGATTTTCCTCCCGTTCGGGGATTTCCCAGCCGCAATTTCAGGATTCCCTAAAATCCCACCCAAAAAAAAAAAAAAAAAACCAAACCCCTTTTCCTTTCCCCCACCTCCAAATCCCTTCCAAACCTCCCGGAATCTCCTGGAAAATTCCCGGATTTCCTGGAATTTGCCGGGATTTTCGCAGGTGAAGGCGCAGGGCCCGGGGCTGGAGCCCTCGGGGGTGGTGCTGAACAAACCCACGGAATTCACCGTGGACGCCAAACACGGCGGCAAAGGCAACCTCAAAGTGCAGATGCAGGTGGGAATTTGGGGAATTTGGGGGAATTTGGGGAATTTTTGGGAATTTTTGGGGAATTTTTGGGGAATTTTTGGGAATTTTGGGGGAATTTTGGGGGAATTTTTGGGGAATTTTGGGGGAATTTTTGGGAATTTTGGGGGAATTTTT